TGCTTTTATTTATAATTTGAATTGTTCCAGGCTTCCCAAGTAAAACACAAAGCGCAATTTTTGGTAGAAGTACAAAAAATCTAAGCTATAAATAAAAGTTCGTGTTATAACAGTCAACTGGCAAAATAAAAGCCTTGTTTTCTTAGGATTAATTTCTCTGTCATATTTATCTTAAGAAAAAATCAACCAAATATCAATTAGTAGAAAAAACAAAGACAAGTTTAGAATGAAACCAAAATGCAAAAATTCTTGATATATGCGAAGTGATAGCAACGCGGCTGCAGACAGTTTACCTATATCGTTTTAATTGTATTGTATTATTAAAATGTTTTTTTTTATATATAAAAAGTGACTCAAAAAGTATCATAATGACTTTTGTTTTACAACATATAAATGTTCTTATTCTTATTATACCAAAAAAAGTTCAAGACAAAGTGGTTGCAATAACCGAACGTGTCACCCTCGGCGTACCTCTTTTTTAAAAATTGAAGAAAACTATAAACGATAGAACATTTTCTATCATCTTCAACCAGACAGGGAATAATAATAATGATAATTATGCTATATCCTACTTACTATATATTATACACTAAATGTCTTTTTTATAAATAAAAAAATACGATTAGTGTGACAAGCTTACGTGTATAACGTTACAGTATATGTCATAAATGATACTTTTTAGGTGAAAAGACAGATCATTCGGAAATACTCTGTATATTTAAAATAATGTTGATAATATCAAAAGAAAAAAAAAAACCATTTTAATGTGCTAGATGTACGCATTGTTTTCAATTGTATCGGCCTGTGTAAGTGGAAACTAGTTCTCATGTACGCTGTTAAAAAAAGTCAAGTTTCGAGGGGAAAATGTTATAATTGCTTTATTTTAAGATATATATTCAGCAAATGTCATTAGGGAGTAAAAATCGGATGCCATTAAACAATCAAAATGCGTTTTACATTGTTTTACGTAAAAACTCTTGCAAAACATCTATCCCGCGGAGAATTAGAACATAAACTTGTTCGATGAGAATCATCTGGACGCTTTAAATTGTTAACACCTAATTTGATTTTTAGCGCTACAGGTACATTGTTTATTTGTTCTTCTCTAAGAAACACGTCATCAAAAGAAAGATAAGATTTATATATATATTTAAACTCTTTCACGATCATTAAATGATTGATAGCATGACCCAACTTAACAGATAGTTATTTCAGAAACTTTAAATGTTCTATTTTTTATGTTAAGTACCGGGTACTGCGTCTAAAACTTGATTGATAAGTCATTTAAATGGACGTTAAATATTAAATATTTTGTGATAAAGTCCATAACAAAAAGCGAAAAGCAAAAAAGGGAAGTTGTTGTTTTCCACGAACGTAATGTTAAGTAATAGATCGTCATCTATTGATGGTATCTTTGCCGCTAGTGAGAAGAAATTCATTAATATCACACAAAATCAGTTGGTACAAATTGTCTAAAAGAGAGGCGAAAGATACCAAAGAGATATTCAAACTCATAAGTCTAAAACAAACTGACAATGCCATGGCAAAAAACGAAAAACGACAAACAACAGTACACAAAACACAACAATGAAAACTAAAGACTTAGCAACACGAACCCCACCATAACCGGGTTGCTCTAAACGAGACCAAATTTGATTAGAATGAATTGTGTGTGGATTCCAAGTGAGGCGTATCATTGGGTCCATAAACATTGTTTTAAGTTTATTCGTAAAGAAAATTCAGCTTATTATCTAGTATATAGTCTTTGCTTTATATACTTCGCATACTTCAATGTAAAAATCCCTGAATATATGGTTCTGTGATGGAACACTTGAAATATAAATCATTGTTTTAGGCAAATTTCATCGTCATGCGATTATAATAGACTAAAACTGTTTTAAATGTTACTTTTGGCTGAGCGTAGGACATAAGCTGAGTAATCCTAATGCATTTTAAAATAATACAAGGCTACCGCTTGGAAACAAATAATATGTCATTCTCACAGATGCCAAAAAACATTTTATTTTTTTTTAAATGGCTAGTAAAATAGATTTTGCAAAATTTGTCCATCACTAAAGACCTGAGATTATCAATACATTTATATAATGGCAAAATGTGTGCTTATTTTTTGTTTTTGTTTTTGGTATTGTCTCATTTACATTTAGATAACAAGAGAAAACTTTGTCTAAAGTACAGAGTAGTTGGAGTAAAACAATCACAAAACTTACAACCCCAACGACTAAATACGATCGAAATAATAACACGAACAAGCCAAGCTTTGCAGCAGATCAAATCCACAGAAACAAAAGACAAAAATATTCAACTTGCATCATTACTATAGAAACGAAACGATGATGTTATCAGGCTGTCCGAATGGTTTTGATCTCTAGACTTATTGTCAGTTCTAATGATAACCAATAATGAGGCCAAACTATAGCACTATGTCAACGAGTGAAAACTTTATGTCTAGATAGATAGTATAACAGCTGTTTCTGTCAAACGAAACTATCTTTTATTATCGTAAATAAGTAAATAGATATTAAAATAGTCTAAGATATTTTTAAATAGTAAAAACAAAATTATCATCTCGTCATGTAAACTTTCAGCAGACATACGCAATACGGAATTTACAGTATGGGAAATAATGTAGTATAAAGATAAGAGTTTTTGTTTTTGTTTTGTTTTTGCCTCTTTTTTCAGTCTCATGATAAGAAAAACAAAATGAAATGCTGCCGAGATGTTCATGTGCATGACACGTGTTTTTTTATGCTCGAGAAAAAAAGTATCTGAAGCCAAAAATATAAAACATTTGAGAACATAAAACCCAAAAGGTCTCAAGAGTACAGCAACGAACAGTAAAAGACAGATTTTGTCGGAAACTTCTAACCTTAGCTTTAATATGGTCACAAAATTATCTTGAAATTTACAGACAGAATACGGTATACATATCATTTAAACAATGCAAGACTTAAGTGCAAAAAACTCTGTATGGTACTAAACTAATATAAACCATATTATTTGATTTAATATGTTATTGTATATACACTAGTACAACAAATGGAATATAGTTATGTAAAAGTTTTCATTGTCATTTATACTGAAAATGCTTCAGGTTAGTCAACTTTTTTGTCCAAATCAAATTGTAACCTTTGTAAATTACTGCATCTCAGAAATAGTTGTTTGTGGAATGGTTTTGTTATTGTGTTAATTTTTGCAATAAAAAAATACCACTACAGTTGAACCTCGATAAGTCGAAATTGAAGGGACCTGACAAAACTATTCGCCGCATCTGAGGTTCGATTCATCCGAGATCGGCAGCTGCATTATGTTTCCACCATTTCAATTTTGTAACGTGTGTTGTCAACCTGGTATGTTAACGTGGAAGTCTTTTTATGCCCCCGCCGTAGCGGAGGGGGCACTAAGTTTTACCCTTGTCCGTCTGTACGTCCATCCGTACGTCCCGAAATTTGTTTCCGTTCCCTTACTTTAGTTTGCCTCAACCAAATGTTATGAAACTTATACATACTGCCTATTACCACAAAACACAGATCAAGTTTTAATTTTGATGTCGTCACTTTTGCTGTACTAGAGCTATGTCCCTTTACAAATGGAAACATTACTGAATTTTACGTTTCCGTTCTCTAACTTAAGTTTGCTTCAACCAAATGTTATGAAACTTATACACAATGCTTATTAACACAAAACTTAGATCAAGTACGAATTTGGTTTGCGTCACTTATACTGTTCTTGAGTTATTTCCCTTTATAACGTTATATGCAAGCGGGGCATCATCTATGTCCCATGGACACATTCCCCATTTATTTTTTTTATATTCCAATCCATATATATGTATCGATAGTACATGTAGTATTAAAAAAAATATTTCCGGGACTGACAACTTACCTCGACTTATCAGAGTTTCAACACAACGAAGTTCGACTGTTGTTTATGACGTGGTTGTATGAAATTGAATAGGAAAAGTCACCGATTTTAATGAGTGTAAACATGCATGATTTATATTTTTTTCTTTGCTCTTGTTTTTGACAATTGTCACCATTCTTTGATGCAGTACTTTTCCGTATTGTTTTACTTGTTTCTGTGTTATTTCGTCTGTTATACCGATGTTTTCATGTTAATTAGGTTTTTTTTTTTAACTTATTTTTAAAGTACGTTTTTCTATGAGCATTTTGTTATTCAGCTGTTTCTGGTATTTAACCCCGCCACATGACAATGTGCTTGTCCCAAGCCCAAGCCAAAATCCTCGTAAGTTGTTGTCCTCTTCATTTTTAAAGGTTTGTTGCTCTGAAGATAATTAAGTATTGACAGCAGATATTTTGAAATTTTTGTTAAATTTATCCGTAGTGTGTCTAGACTTGGTACGACTTAAAGCTTGTGCTATAAACACGCACTAAGACTAAGCTTTGTCTTCTATAAAATTTCTTGTTTAGGTACATTGTGTGGAAATTTTGCTTTCACATTGTGTATCTTTTCATTCGTATAACATTGCGAAATTTAACTTGTCTGAACCAATTAAATTTTGAATCAATTATCATCAGTTACATGACGAATAAAACTTCTGACTGACAGAGCAAGTATCTTTATGTAGAATATCTCTAATACAGACAACAGTTCAATCCAATCTGAGATACGGAAGAATCGCTGCCAACTAATCAGCTGTTTTGCTTTGTATACAAATAAACCCTTTCATCTTTGCATGTGGATAACAGTTTGCGTTTAACCCGTAATAAGTGTAGACGGTTAGCAACATGACAAAACTGGACTTTCATAATTATGAACTTTATAATACTTTTTCAAAACGGCTGGCATGAAAGTAGAACGGAGTTTGTCGAAAAGAAGATTTGAACGTATTGCCAGAAGGTAAGCTTAACTTTGATGTTATGTTTTATGACTTTTTTTCCTATATATATATACTCTAAGTTTTGAATTTTAAATATTTTATTTCATAATAATTATGCTTATATATATATATTTTTTTGCAGTGTTCCAACTTTTAAAAATTTGCCTGAGGAATCGCTGAGTAAAATTGCTGACGTGTTGGAAGAGGTAGGGAACTTTTTTGTTTCTAATAGTTCATTTTTGTTGCTTCGGAATTATACTGTTGTGGACACATTTTCCCACACCTTTCATCAAAAGAGGTCAACAAGGTTTTGTTTCTTCTTTTTTTAAGTGAACAAGTAGAACTTCTTATAAGATATTCTTTATCCTCTTTTTTCTTTAATACATTTTATAATGTCTTCATTTGTTTTGCAAATAGGGAGAAAAATTCTTCACTTTACCAATTTACTTGATATTGATTCTTGATGGATATCCAGTTGACAACAGATGTAAAATCTGTGTGATTCAAATATCATCCCTCACTTAGCTTTCATTTTTTTGGTATTATTTTGGATTTGTGAGCTCTTAAACAATTTCACTATCAAAATTCCAATTTTTGGCATTAAGCACCACTTACAAGAAATAAGTTTTGGAAATGTGCATTTGATGCGTCAGAATAAAATCGGCATATTAATAGTGTTATTAATTCTATAAACCTTCAACACTTCACAAATGTAAAACTAATAGCAAAGTAAGCTATAAACATAACCATGAAGCTTTATTTGCGTATCGATTTTTCATAATAAAACAAAGATATGAATATGAAAATAAATCAATATTGTACGTGCCAGTTTTTTTTTTATGTTTTCTTACTTTTATAATTGCAATTCAATTGAAGAGATTTACATTAAAGAGATAATACAGTTGTGATTGAACAAGTTAAAAGATATACTTCATTTAAATACATGGCTTTACTGGCTATTAAGGTTTTCGTTCCCGCTTATATTTTGCTTTTTATAGAACATACTCTACGAATATTTGGCTCCTCTTTTTTTTGGGGGGGGGGGTCTAATTTGGTCATACAACTGCCTGTGTATAACATTACATATAGTTAACCTTTGTCCATAATTTTGGATCTAATAATTCCTGATTAAGTCCCCCCCCAAAAAAAAAAACAAAAATGCACAAATTTGGAGCATTAACGGAACGTTTACCTCGGTTAACACGTAACTGAAGCCTTACTATACAACAGAATAGTTCTGAAGCAACAATGTAAAACGTATTTGAAAGTAATATAAAATGATGTTGTGCATAGTGTATGCAACGACCGATTGATTTCGATACGATTTTACCTCATTTGGCGAGTTTGTTTTTGAAATGTACATAGCTGCTTATAATAATAAGCTCTTTCTTTAGTCACTGGTGTTTCTTATGATACACACGAATCCCCCCCCCCCTCCCCCCCCCCCCCCCCCACCACCAAAGGTGCTGGCTAATATTTAAGGACTCTTATGATGAGAAACCCAAACTGAAAGAGTTTTAATTGACTCTTCGAAGATAGAATTTTAAAATGCAACGCTCTTTATTCATTTATCTCTGCGTTTTTTTTTTGTCGAGATGAAACATTATTACATTAACAAATGGTATAGCTATACACTCTAATAAATACTTTATGTCTTATTTAAAAGTTAATTTTAGAAATAAATTTTCACACAGGCATAACGTTATCAGTAAATTTTACTGATGCAACAAGTATTTTATGATAGTGAGATAAGATTAAGACATTACTTGGATTTATTTCGATTTTGAAATTCATAGGATTCATTTTTTCACATTTGTGTTACATAATGTTTATACTCTCAACGATGCGTTGGTGGAAGAAAATATTAGTCGGTACAGTGTTACAAAAACATACTTAGCCTCGTATTCATATTTGAGAGAATCCGGAGGTCTCGTTTATCGTTTTGACAAAAAGTATCAAAAAAGACGGCCATTGTGGCAAATAATGGCAGCCACAATAACATTGAATGTCGACTTCTTATTCAACATTTTGCAATTTGCTTAATAAGAAGAGAGGGAAAAGAAAAATACACTCCTAGGAGCGAATGATGGGGTAATTCAATGGATGTTTTCATATAGTTTTAGAAACTGTAAAAACCGCCATGTTTATCACTTTCATTTTCCTTCAATGCTCCTTGTCTTGTTTGAAAACGAGTCGGACTCACTCGCTGCTGAGTTGCATATGTGTCGGTCACCGTTTGTGCAATAAAGCCTCCGTTCAATTTAATTGAACACAACTATCCTCAACAAATCTAAGGCAATTTCACACCAACATACATCGTCATCGAAGTTTTGTCTGCAGACAACCCCTCCTCTCCACATTCATTTGTTTAAATACAAATTTATAGTGGGCACATATCTGTAAACCATATGAAAAAACATGATCGAAATTGTTTCATAAACGTTTTCTTTTCACAATTCAAACTCATTTAAGTGCTAAAAACCGACAAATGTATCAATTTGCAAGACCAGGAGAAAGATCATTATCACATTGCGGATGTTTCATTGTGGATCAACTTATTCATGCTTTATTTTCATTCTCTTGTGAGACTGAACATCCTCTGTGACAGTGATTATTTTCTGTCCAAGAGTCTAAACTTGTAAAATCCCCTATAAACATTTTTAGGCATGGCGGTGTTAGTTTATTTTCGACTTATGAGTTTGAATGTCCCTTTGGTATCTTTCGACCCTCTTTTACTGTGATACGGAAGCACAATAAGCAAGAACGTTTAGAGCCTGGACTTTAGTTTTTTGAAATAACTACATATTTGCTTGAGAATCAAATTGAAACGTTCTGCATAGGCTCTTCCTGAAGAGCTTTCATGGCTTTATCTTAGGATTATTTAGAGCCAGGATTTTGTCCTATTTTTAGAAATTGGTAAACATTACAATGGTAAAATTCAATTCTAACAGTCCATGGACAAGAATGAACTACTTGTCGTAAGTTGTACCAGAATTTGGATTACATAGCTAGTACACTCGTCTTCTCTATATTTGTTTTAATATCAATATAAAGTAACAAGATGTATTAAATGAATTTGAGATTAACAACCAACTGCGCAATAAAGACCACATATAATGACGTATCGGGTTATATCTTCCAATCAAATTAGACAGCATATATTGCTGATTATGCATTTTTAAATAGCATTTTGATATAGCTTTCTGCTGTGCTTCTGATAATTGCCACAGTTAAATGTTTATTTCAGTAACTTTCATCTATATTCTTATTTACCTTTCACTGCACTTGGTTTATTTTTGCATTTATTAAAAATTGAATTATGCAAATTCCCTGTGGATTTAATTTCTATAATATGTTTTAAATTTCATTTACTCATTTTCGACTTATAAATGAAGGCGCCATTGATTTTAATAATATAATTTTCAAATATTGTTTAAAGACTTAAAGACTTTGCTGTTATATAATTTTGAAATCATTTAAAATTAAGGAATATATCTCATGCAAAGCTCTGATTCCTTGTCCGTAATTGGCTATACTTTAGGTCCTATTCATTTTGATCAGCTCTTCCAACTTTTTCATTGTGTTTTGGATTTTCAAATATTTCGGCCTAGTCATCACGGAGAGACATTAATTGTCGTAATGCGCATCTGGTGCATAAAAAATGGTACCGGTAATGTAATTGTAAACAAATATAGAGTAAACATCGTTGCTATGATTGTACAATACTTACTTAATGCTGATAACAACGAAACCAGGAAATCAAAACCTTCATAACATACGCCAGGACGTACATAGCATGTGTTATACAGATAAAGCGAAATCCCCTGAGAAGACATTTGTTTTACGATTAAACGTCAAATTACTACATTCATTGTTAATTATATACCATACAATATGCTGTTTAATTGGTTTTAAATTCGAATTCAGCATTTACGTTGCATATCGTGATTAACAAATGCTTTGTTATGACATGCTTTTCAAGTATCTTTAAGTCTGGGTATATTAGAAACCGAAAATATGTGAGTTAAAGTAGATGTTGATTAGTTGTTCTGGTTTAACGTTTGTTATTTATGTAGCATCTCATTTGACTATTTATCAGTTTATCATATGACATATTTACATTGGCCTTTCGTACAACTTCAACTCTGATTTCTTGTCCTGGGTTTGTTTTATTTTTGGTCCTTTTTGGTTTTATGAGGGTTTCAACGTTTGCATTTCGTTTTGGACCTCCGTATACGTTGGCCTCGAGCATCACTAAAGAGACATTAATTGTCGAAATGCGCATCTGGTGCAATAAAATTGGTACCGTTAATGTATAGAAGATATCGCCGGCTCAATTATCATTATCTTTAGTTTTTATTGGTTTTAGTAAAGTGCTTCGTACTTGCTGCTGAGAATATTCATTTCTACAGTAACAGTATTTATTTGGTGTACCATATTTGCTGCTGTCATTGCGAATTTTGCAGCTACTGTCAAATCTAGTGCATAAAATTAAAAATTGTTAAAGCGAAAGAGATATAACGCATGGGATGTTGTAAAATTAAAAAGTGCGTTAATAGAATGTAAAAAAATAGACTGAAACTATAGGGTAGACTTTCATCAATCGACTTCAGGATTTATTAGTGAAAATAAGAAACAAAGAAAAAAAAAGAAGAATAATTTAAAAAAAAAAGAGTGGTCAGCTCATGTGTTTATATTTTTAAATGTAATATAATATGTTTTTCTGTTCCTTTAAATTTTTCATCTGAAGTCCAGGCTATACTCTCATAATCTTTTAGTAAATAAGTATAAGGTTGAAGGAAGCTATTATCTTAAATGTATTGACAACTTTGCTAATTTCCCTACCAGAAATATCCTCAATACGTCACTTAAAGTGAATGTAAGGATTAGCAAAAAAGTATGTGCACATTTTGTAAAACTGTAAATGGCCCTTATCGCACTCTTTGTAGAACAAAAAATAGTCTTTTACCATCGATCATTTTTGATTGGTTTTCTATTTAGAAACAAAAGTATCATTTAATGTCATTCTTGACGTAGTTGCAACTTTCCAACTATACAATGTTTTCTATACATCTGTTAAAACAAAAATCTGCACAATGTCTTTCATTTGACAATGCCTTTGGTGTTTATATGTTACAGTTCTAAAAGTAAGTTCATACCCTTTTTATTCTTACCTTCATTATAGTTATATATTATGTGTTATATA